AATACTTCAGAAATGCATCCGATCTCCATCTGCCCTGTTTCGCCACAACCTCGGGGGGTACGCCCCTCAACAACAATTCAGTAACACCACCGATGCGGAAGCTGTGACCCCCCGTGATGACTGTCAATTCCGCTGCAGCCCATATCTCGTTACACCTCCTCAAAAAGGCTATCTTCGTTAGCGGCTCCCAAGAGTCGCCCTGCTGGAAAGCGAAGAATGGTGCATCGTCCGGAATGTTTGAATTAACTCGGAGGTGATAGTCGAGAGCGGTAAAAGGAGATGTCGGGTCAGAGGAATGCACAATGGCGATGTCTGCGCCAGCATTGCCCGTCGTCTTCGAGAACGGGATGTGAAGGGTGAAAAAAGGGTCACCTGTGCGAGTGGTACCTTTGCGTAAGTCCGCAGACCTCGCAGCGTGCTTATGGGGATCGAAGGTACCTCGCGACGGAATCAGCAATTCGCCGAGACTGTCGAAACGGAGTCTATGTTCAGCAAGCGAACACTGTCCTCTCTAAGCTACAGCTTTTTATTACTACTCTACATCTTACTACTATGGCTGAGTCTCTCGACGACGGTAACGGCTCCTCTCACTCTATCGGGGGCCCCTCGCCTCAAGATGCGTTAGCCGCCAATGCGACGATTCCGGCGCCTAAAAATGCCCAGCCCGGTAGCCAATCACAGGCCGGATCGGCAACTGCCGGATCTTCGCCTGACGCACATACTCCCACAACTTCGCCCTCGAACAACACTGCCAGCAACGTGCAGTCGCAGACGCGCCCTCCCAGCGCAGCACATACCACTCGTCCACGGTCCACATCCTTTCCCTCATCTTCGCCATCTCTTCTCGCGTCCTTCGCTGCCGTCCGGCCTCAGGATCGCGCCCTTGTAGATGCACTCGCGAAATCCATCGCGGGTCAATACGTCGCTCAGGGTAACGTAACGGCTGGCGGTGCCAATGGTACCGGCTCCAGTACATCCCACGCCGTTGCATCCCCTTCCCTGGACGACGACATCTTCAAGATCGAGGCGGAGACGAATAGTGCGACTTACGGTGACGAAGTAGCTATTCACCCCGAGATTACGACGCTCGCGCGTAAAGGTGTGCGCCCGCCGCTCACACTCTTCGCCAACCACGCTCTCGCGGAATTACACGCCGACCCTTCCATTCACCGTAAGAAGTACACTCTCGCTGATGGAACGGCTTACCTAATCAACACCGCCGCGTTCGGAAAGGAGGGCGACTTGAGGTCCGAGGGTTGGAAGGAATGTTGGAAGAATCACCTGATGTGGATGAAGACCGTTTCGCCTCCACCGATCTGTGAGCGATGGGGTCAACATTTCGAAGCTTTGTGCGAGCTCGCCTACTTCCAGGACGAGTTCCCTGCCATTCTCGCCTTTGACATCGCCGAACGGGCTAAATATTTCGCCAAACCCTTCCAATATGTCCCAGAGGTTTGGTGGACGAGGCTTGGTAGCATGAGGCAGCAGGTATGCATAAAGGAGGGCAGAGACGAGATTCAGGAACTCCGAGCGTCCATCGGGAGGATGGCCGGCCCAGCCAGGAATGAGAGGTCCACATCGGCGCGCCAGCAGCCCTACCCGGCCTCCGCCTCTGCCCAATCTCGCTCCTTTCCATCAGGCAAACCTGCGTCCGCGACTCGCAGAGTTTGCTTACGCTGCGGTCGCCCAAACGAGCTTGCCAATGCATGCTCGCACACGACAACCTTCCGTGATCGCCCCGTCATCTCTCACTGGGACTCCGGCCTCCGCACCCTCGTGTCCGACGATGGCAAATTCGAATACTGTTTCCAGTTCAACTTTGGCGGTCCCGATCGCTGCAAAGGCGCACACGCCCCTCGGATCCGGGACGCCTGCTCCGTCTGTGGCAGCGGAGAGCACCATGCCGCCAGCGGACGTTGTGCCGTCTGATATGGCCACACCCTCCGTCATGTCGCCGTTAAAAGTTCCTTTCGACTATTCTTCAATTTCACCATCACCATTAATTTCCTATCCTTCTGATTCATCGGTTCTCGGTCGCGTTATAACTCCATATAATCACCACGCCTTCACGGCGTTGCTCGCCTTCCTCTCTCTCGAAGATCAATTTCCTAACCTGGCAGAAAAGATAAAAAACGGCTTCCATATCGGTGTTCCTGGATCACTCCTTGCCGATTCCATCATCCCTCCGTATCGCGCGTCCGAGGAGGACGAGACTATAGATTCATACTTGGAAGAGGAGGTGCAGGCGAGGAGGATGGATGGTCCATTCTCAGAGGAGGAGATGAGAAGCCTGTGTGGGGGAAATTTTGCCGCTTGTCCGGTTCATGTGGTGATACAGACGGACGAGCTGGGGAAGGTGAAGAAAAGGGTGGTGAGGAACATGTCGTACGAGGGGCAGGCAGGGTATTCCGTGAACGATCTCATCGACTCCGACGATTTTCCGACCCAGTGGGGCTCTGCACCTGTAGTGGCAGATATTGTGAGTGTCATCACCGTCTTGTCTGCTGCTCCATCCTGTCTATATTGTCCTGTTGCGTTGTGCCTGTCGCCCTTCGGGGTTTGAACCTGTCGCCCTTCGGGGTTTGAACCTGTCGCCCATTCGGGGTTTGAACCTGTCGCCCTTCGGGGTTTGAACCTGTCACCTTTCGAGGTTTGAACCTGTCGCCCCTTTGTGGGTTCGAAGCTGTCGCCCGCGTTGGGTTTGAACCTATGGTTCCGCAGAGCTTTATCCTGAACAACTCCAGATCTGCATGGCAGCGGATAGGGGACTGGTCGATTGACGACATGTTACGGGCTTTCGAGACTCGATAGACAGGCCGGGCTCCATGAGCACAGCGCTAACAGTATCATTTGAACCTGTCAGGTTGGCGCCGCGCCGCTAGGAACACAGGCTGCGACCCTGGACATCGAGAAGGCTTACCGTGGTGTACCCGTGTGTCCAGAAGACAAGAAGTTCACCGTCGTCGCTCACCGTGGTCGATTCTGGCTTGACCATGTCGTGCCTTTCGGCCTCTCATCGGCGGCTGGTCTTCAAGGAGAAATCGCGGACGCGATAATGGCTATATGGTCAGCTTTGGGGGTAAAGCCTTCGGCGAAGTGGGTTGATGATGTTGTCCTATTTCGTTCACCGGTTTCGGTTTGCGATAGACCAGCCACGACGTCGCACAATTATCTATATGACCGCCAGCTTGCGAAGGATCTTATCCGGTGTCTCGGCGTTCCCTGGCATCTTCTGAAGGGCCAAGATTTCGCTTTTCTCTTCGTCTACGTCGGTTTCTTATGGGATCTCATCCAGAAGAGGGTTCGCTTGACTGACGACAAACTCGCCCGGATGCTACAGAGGGTTGAAACATTCATCGACAAGAACTACCGCAGGCCATGCTCTCTGAAGGACGTTCTCCGAATCCATGGGTCACTTTCACACATCACCTTCGTTTATCCGCACGGTGCCGCCCATCTCACATCGCTCTCCTCCTTCGTCGCGTCGTTTGGCCCCACTCCATCCAAGAATGTTCGAGCCCGTTTCGCGCCCCCATCCATGTGGTCAGATTTGCGGTGGTGGAAAGATCTGTTGTTATTGGGGCCGGGGATGCGCAACCTTGCGCCCTTGGGTCCTACTAGGGATGAAGGGATATGGGTGGATGCTTCTACGGATTGGGGTATTGGGTTGGTGTGGAACGGTAGGGAGTATGCCGCATGGAGATGGTTGCCAGGATGGAACCATGCGCCTGGGTGCAACATTGGTTGGGGGGAAGCCATCGCGGTTGAGCTCGCAATCGTGTTGCTTGACCGGTTGGGCGTTTCAGATTGCAGGGTGTTGGTTCGGAGTGACAACATGGGTGTCATCGGCGCTTTCCGGAAACGACGCAGTCGCAACTGGATGGTGAACCAGTGTATCCGTCGTTCGAACATCATCGCTATGGCTCGGAACTTGGATTTCGAGTTCGTGTATGTTGCCTCTGAGGATAATTTGGCCGACCCGATTTCGCGCGGAGAAAGGGTCCCATCGTTCACTCCTCTTCTCACTTCAGTCCCGTTGCCGGACGCGCTATTTCCTTACCTTGCCCATGTCTAGTACAACCCAATCTAATGCGTTCGCACGTGCGAACGCGTCCGATGTCTTGGCGATCCCTCGCGCTGCATATGCCGGCAGTGTCTTGGTCTCGTCTCTGCGCATGACAGACGGACGAACGGTTCGGGCACGAAGGCCCGCCGCAGGCAACGAATATCTCCCTTCTATTTATCGACCCTTCGTCGCCGCGCAGGATCACATTTTTAAATGGACCACTCCCTACGCTCTTTTGTACGCTGACGAAGGTCGCAATTTTCTCTCGGATCGCGCTTTCTCCCACATGCAGCAGGTCATTCTCGCCTCTGTGGACCACAAGACTCGAGTCACCAACGCGGCTGGACCGCTTCGCTTCACCCAATACTGCGATGAGTTTTCGATATCGGAGTTGGATAGGATGCCGGCATCAGATGCTCTCTTGGCGGCATTTGTGTCTAGTGGGGCTGCAAAGGTCGGTTCGGCGCAGCATTGGGTAGACGGGTTGCGATTGTGGCACGACGTGCATGGAGCTCCATGGTATGGTGGCCCACTCCTTAGCCGCGCGTTGACCGGGGTGAAGAAGCTGGCTCCTGCGTCGTCGCACCGTGCTCCTCGCCCCCCGGTAACGTACGAGCATATGGAGGCGCTCCTTCGACACCTCGACTTCAAGAATACGAAAGACTGTGCGGTTTGGGCTGCGGCTTCCGTAGCCTTCTGGTCTTGCTGCCGGTGTGTGTTCCTTTGTTCCCTTTGATTACTTGACAGTGTTCGCTTGCTGAACATAGACTCCGTTTCGACAGTCTCGGCGAATTGCTGATTCCGTCGCAAGGTACCTTCGATCCCCATAAGCACGCTGCGAGGTCTGCGGACTTACGCAAAGGTACCACTCGCACAGGTGACCCTTTTTTCACCCTTCACATCCCGTTCTCGAAGACGACGGGCAATGCTGGCGCAGACATCGCCATTGTGCATTCCTCTGACCCGACATCTCCTTTTACCGCTCTCGACTATCACCTCCGAGTTAATTCAAACATTCCGGACGATGCACCATTCTTCGCTTTCCAGCAGGGCGACTCTTGGGAGCCGCTAACGAAGATAGCCTTTTTGAGGAGGTGTAACGAGATATGGGCTGCAGCGGAATTGACAGTCATCACGGGGGGTCACAGCTTCCGCATCGGTGGTGTTACTGAATTG